TCATCCTGAATACCATACGTATCCCGGATGATTAATGGCAACAACACAGGAGCAGCTTGCGGTGAAATTGCCCCGCGAACCAGCTGGATGCCCACAGAATTTACCCTCCTCCTTACACTCAGCGCCATATTGGAAAAAAACAGGAAGTCGTCCAATCGCCGAGAAAGGGTAGCAGGCATACGTCTGCTAACACCAACAGACGAGCAGAGAATGTTGAATTACCCTATAACATTAATTAATATGTATGGTGAGAGGTTAAAATTTTTCTTCCTGTGAGGTTAGGCACTCAATAAAATGATTGCTGTTTGTTTATATGATGTGGACGGATCTTGTTACTGTAATTTGGCTACAGGAAATTCTTTATAACCAATGTTCGAAATCAGACTGTTACATGTTTACATAATGCGCTTATTGTATTTGCAGTTTGTTTTGTAAGCCATGAGGCAGTTATAACCTTTACCATTTTAAGGCTTAGGTACAGATGTACCTGGAGTTTACCTGGAGTTTACCAGGAGAGAGTTCCGGGGGTCAACGCCCCCGCGGCCCGGTCTGTGACCAGGCCTCCTGGTGGATCAGAGCCTGATCAACCAGGCTGTTACTGCTGGCTGCACGCAAACCAATGTACGAGCCACAGCCCAGCTGGTCAGGAACCGACTTTAGGTGCTTGTCCACTGCCAGCTTAAAGACTGCCAGGGGTCTGTTGGTAATCCCCCTTATGTATGCTGGGAGGCAGTTGAACAGTCTCGGGCCCCTGACACTTATTGTATGGTCTCTTAACGTGCTAGTGACACCCCTGCTTTTCATTGGGGGGATGTTGCATCGTCTGCCAAGTCTTTTGCTTTCGTAGTGAGTGATTTTCGTGTGCAAGTTCGGTTCTAGTCCCTCTAGGATTTTCCAGGTGTATATAATCATGTATCTCTCCCGCCTGCGTTCCAGGGAATACAGTTTTAGGAACCTCAAGCGCTCCCAGTAATTGAGGTGTTTTATCTCCGTTATGCACGCCGTGAAGGTTCTCTGTACATTCTCTAGGTCAGCAATTTCACCTGCCTTGAAAGGTGCTGTTAGTGAGCAGCAATATTCCAGCCTAGATAGAACAAGTGACCTGAAGAGTGTCATCATGGGCTTGGCCTCCCTAGTTTTGAAGGTTCTCATTATCCATCCTGTCATTTTTCTAGCAGATGCGATTGATACAATGTTATGGTCCTTGAAGGTGAGATCCTCCGACATGATCACTCCAGGTCTTTGACGTTGGTGTTTCGCTCTATTTTGTGGTCAGAATTTGTTTTGTACTCTGATGAAGATTTAATTTCCTCGTGTTTACCATATCTGAGTAATTGAAATTTCTCATCGTTGAACTTCATATTGTTTTCTGCAGCCCACTGAAAGATTCGGTTGATGTCCGCCTGGAGCCTTGCAGTGTCTGCAATGGAAGACACTGTCATGCAGATTCGGGTGTCATCTGCAAAGGAAGACACGGTGCTGTGGCTGACATCCTTGTCTATGTCGGATATGAGGATGAGGAACAAGATGGGAGCGAGTACTGTGCCTTGTGGAACAGAGCTTTTCACCGTAGCTGCCTCGGACTTTACTCTGTTGACGACTACTCTCTGTGTTCTGTTAGTGAGGAAATTATAGATCCATCGACAGACTTTTCCTGTTATTCCTTTAGCACGCATTTTGTGCGCTATTACGCCATGGTCACACTTGTCAAAGGCTTTTGCAAAATCTGTATATATTACATCTGCATTTTTTTATCTTCTAGTGCATTTAGGACCTTGTCGTAGTGATCCAATAGTTGAGACAGACAGGAGCGACCTGTTCTAAACCCATGTTGCCCTGGGTTGTGTAACTGATGGGTTTCTAGATGGGTGGTGATCTTGCTTCTTAGGACCCTTTCAAAGATTTTTATGATATGGGATGTTAGTGCTATCGGTCTGTAGTTCTTTGATGTTGCTTTACTGCCCCCTTTGTGGAGTGGGGCTATGTCTGTTGTTTTTAGTAACTGTGGGACGACCCCCGTGTCCATGCTCCCTCTCCATAGGATGGAAAAGGCTCGTGATAGGGGCTTCTTGCAGTTCTTGATGAACACGGAGTTCAATGAGTCTGGCCCTGGGGCAGAGTGCATGGGCATGTCATTTATCGCCTGTTCGAAGTCATTTGGCGTCAGGATAACATCGGATAGGCTGGAAATAAATGGTATAAAATACCGACACAATGGCAATATAAACACAAATGCAGTATAATGTGATCCTTTATTGACTACGTTTCGCCCACACAGTGGGCTTTTTCAAGTCACAAACAGAACTACCTGGGGTGGAAGGAACGCGAGTATTTATAGTCCGGCTGAGGTCAGGTGAAGAATGCTGCATCTGATGATGTACCGAGTGGGGTTATAGAGTCTAAAAACTTGGGTAGCTTAGAAAGGAGATTGGATAAGTTTGTGAGCAGACCTTCTACAGTGTTCTTATGTGGGATAGCGATGAAGAAGTTTCTTGGCAAGTGGTTCAGCTATGTTATAGAAGCCACTATTCTGGTTGAAGTTGTCGGATATAGAAATAAGTGATGATTCCAGGATTCTTCGGTATTGAGTGTTGTCTTCTGTGGCGATAAGTCTTGAGTTTCTGTAGTTTATCAAGTGGTTGTGTGAATTACGGTGTTGTACGCAGGCATTCCTTGTGTCGTCAGATCTGCTTGCGTATTGGTGTTCTGAAATACGTGTTTGGAGGTCCCTTGATGTTTCGCCCACGTATAACTTGTTGCAGTCATTACAAGGGATTATGTATACCCCTGCAGAGGATGGAGGACATCACAAGTAGTAGGCAGGACAAGCCTCCATCCTCTGCAGGGGTATACATAATCCCTTGTAATGACTGCAACAAGTTATACGTGGGCGAAACATCAAGGGACCTCCAAACACGTATTTCAGAACACCAATACGCAAGCAGATCTGACGACACAAGGAATGCCTGCGTACAACACCGTAATTCACACAACCACTTGATAAACTACAGAAACTCAAGACTTATCGCCACAGAAGACAACACTCAATACCGAAGAATCCTGGAATCATCACTTATTTCTATATCCGACAACTTCAACCAGAATAGTGGCTTCTATAACATAGCTGAACCACTTGCCAAGAAACTTCTTCATCGCTATCCCACATAAGAACACTGTAGAAGGTCTGCTCACAAACTTATCCAATCTCCTTTCTAAGCTACCCAAGTTTTTAGACTCTATAACCCCACTCGGTACATCATCAGATGCAGCATTCTTCACCTGACCTCAGCCGGACTATAAATACTCGCGTTCCTTCCACCCCAGGTAGTTCTGTTTGTGACTTGAAAAAGCCCACTGTGTGGGCGAAACGTAGTCAATAAAGGATCACATTATACTGCATTTGTGTTTATATTGCCATCGGATAGGCTTGTGTTAACCAAATTTTGTGGCTCTCTCATAAAAAAATAATTTTGATCTTCGACTCTCAGTCTGGTTAGCGGCTTGCTGAAAACTGAGTCATATTGGGACTTGAGTAGCTCACTCATTTCCTTGCTGTCATCTGTGTAGGACCCATCTTGTTTAAGTAGGGGCCCAATACTGGACGTTGTTCTCGACTTTGATTTGGCATTGGAGAAGAAATACTTTGGGTTTCTTTCGATTTCATTTATGGCTTTTAGTTCTTCCCGCGATTCCTGACTCCTATAAGATTCCTTTAGCTTGAGTTCGATGCTTGCTATTTCTCTGACCAGTGTCTCCCTACGCATTTCAGATATTGACCTCTTTTAGCCGCTCTGTTATTCTTTTCCGTCGCCTGTAAAGGGAGCGCCTGTCTCTATTTTACATCTACTCCTCCTTTCTCTTAGAGGAATAAGCCTTGTGCATACATCGAGTGCCACCAAGTTAATCTTTTCTAGGCATAAGTTGGGGTCTGTGTTGCTTAGTATATCTTCCCAGCTTATATGGGTTAGGACTTGGTTTACTTGGTCCCACTTTGTTTTTGTTATTGAAGTTGAATTTGGTGAATGCTCCCTCGTGACTAGTCTCATTATGTCTGTCTGGGGCTCCACGCATACATGTCTGAACCTCAATTATGTTGTGATCTGAGTATATTGTTTTTGATATGGTGACATTTCTTATCAGATCATCATTGTTAGTGAAGATGTACCATTGTAGTATATGCTTAATATTCTTACGTGTTGTAAGATTCATACTTTTGGACAGCATTATAGATGTGTTAGGGTTAACTTAATTTATTGTGCACTCTTGTGGTTCTAATTTTATGTTGTACTTCTCAGATAGGGTGGGGGAGGTCTGTCTGGGGAAGGGAGGGTTTAGTTTGCAGAGTTACGGTATGAAACATACTGTGTTCTTTTGAGTTTGTACCTTATGACGTTAAGTCATAGTAAAGAATATCTGGTTTTACTGTTGATGTAGTTTGTACAGAAGTATGTATCAATACTCTCCTTAATTAGGTTATTGTTTGTGTTTTCATTAGATACTATTTGTTACATGATGTATAATTTTTATATTTGTATGTGGTATTGTATGGCCATGGAAAGTTTATTACATCTGTTTATTACATCTGTTGTTATTTATGTGCTGTGATGTACTTTTTAAATAAATATAAAAAAAAATACTCCTTTGAACGTCATTACCTGATGTCACTATTATACGACATAATGAACTGGAAGGAAAATGAGAGAGTGAAGCATCGCTAGGTGTCATATACAAGTTTATTAGGTTTGAAGACTGTCGACTGTAGTGTGGGTCATAAAGCTGTGTAAGTTATGCACCAACACCAAGAAAACTTTATACCTAAAACAGGAATGAACGTAAATACTAACTTTATAAATACTAACTTTATAAATACTAACTTTATACACAAACAGAGAGATCTCTCTCTCTCTCTCTTGGAATATATGACCTATGTTTAAATCGGTTAAAATATACCCAAATGGAAGGTAAACAACTGAAGCACTGTGAGAGTAATTGTGACAACTTAATAACTGGGGTTGTGGCATTGTCAGTCGCCTGGCTGGAGACTCAGTGTTAACCTGCCTTCACACCCGCTGGTGGATCAGTCATTTTTAACCACTTCAGAGTATTTTTTATTAGATAAACTACAGCGAGGTTTAATGTTGCTGATATTTTAGTGTAGAGGTGAGTAATAATATCAACATTAATAAGCGTTATACTGCAGTTTGTTGTGGTATAACACAGTGTTGCCAGGTTTATGGAAATGCTTATGGTATAATTTGTGGCATGGTTTGACATGTGAAAGGTCTGTTCTGTAGGGTGAGGTTGCAATCTCGGACGAGGTTTCACTCTCGGGCGAGGTTTCACTCCTCATTCGGGTGATCTCCTTTAGGCTGTAAATCCTTAGAACAAAATGTATATATTAAAATAGATTTAAGTCTAAGTGAAGTGTTTTCGTGTGTGAAAATAAATTTGCAAATAGTGACTTGTACCGTATTTTATATATATAATATATTGTTACATCACGGTACTGACATCGTAGTTTTCATTGAGTTGAAATGTTACAAAGAGCCGAACTTTTTTGTTAATGGTGGGAATTTTACTCTGGGTGTTGTTACTAGTGCGTCACACAACCCTCCTGTATGATAATGGAGCTTCTGAAGGCTTAAGTCAGACTTAAACCATTAAGTTGTCACACACAAGAGCAAATAGATGTATAAACCTATTGTATAATTAGTGCAACCTTATCAAACTGTTTTGTACGTCTAGTGTTAAGTAATCAGTAATGTATTAAGTTTACTGACAGTAATACCAAGGTATGATAGTGGCTCTGCACTATAAATCATTGTAAACTCTCGCTGTAAACTATGTAAATATACCTCCTAATTATGTCAACCACATTGTAAACTTACCTGGACCTGGAGTTTACCTGGAGAGAGTTCCGGGGGTCAACGCCCCCGCGGCCCGGTCTGTGACCAGGCCTCCTGGTGGATCAGAGCCTGATCAACCAGGCTGTTGCTGCTGGCTGCACACAAACCAACGTACGAGCCACAGCCCGGCTGATCAGGAATGACTTTAGGTGCTTGTCCAGTGCCAGCTTGAAGACTGCCAGGGGTCTGTTGGTAATCCCCCTTATGTGTGCTGGGAGGCAGTTGAACAGTCTCGGGCCCCTGACACTTATTGTATGGTCTCTTAACGTGCTAGTGACACCCCTGCTTTTCATTGGGGGGATGGTGCATCGTCTGCCAAGTCTTTTGCTTTCGTAGTAAGTGATTTTCGTGTGCAAGTTCGGTACTAGTCCCTCTAGGATTTTCCAGGTGTATATAATCATGTATCTCTCCCGCCTGCGTTCCAGGGAATACAGGTTTAGGAACCTCAATTTGAAGCCGGTATATAATTAGAAGGACGAGGTTGAGAGTAGAACGAGAGGAGTTGGTAGTATAGCTGGGTTGTTAGCGCACATACCTCACACACTGAGGTCCGTGGTGTGATCCCCGGTAAGTGTGGAAACATTAGGACGTGTTTCATTAAGACGCCTGTTGTCCATGTTCACCTAGCAGTAGATAGGTTCCTGTGTTAGTGGACTGGTGTGGGTCGCATCCAGGGGTAAAACTGTCCTAATTTGCAGGAAATGCTCAATATAACAAGGGACTTCCTATATAGTAATATGTCATTGATGTCGGCTATGGTCTGTATACCTTGTACATGTACTGGTAGAAATAATTACATTGGTAATCATAGTAATGTAATGACGATAGAAAACAAAAGCACTGCTAATTTCTAAATCTGTGCAAATTAGCAAGGATCTGGTGTCAAGTCCAAACCTTCCATAGATACGGTCGCTGGTGTGAACTAACTACTGTATCAGGATCTAACATTATATTTTTCCTTTAATCATACATTTCAGAATTGTGTTGTCTGATAGCCGTTATATATTACATGACTTGTATGGTAATTAGGTTTTCAATTATTTAAAGCAGCACTAATGCAGATGGTTTAGTTAGTAATGTAAATTTAGAGCAGCATAATTATCAGCTTGTTAGATAATTTTGTACTAAGGTCTGTGATAAACGATAATTTGAGGAGTACTGTAGGATAATTCTGGTGATGGTGCTGGTAGGTCGTGGTCGTGGTAGCTGCTACTGTAAGAAATATCACTGGTCAGAGGTGATGGTTAGTTTAATTTAGTTTAATATGTTTATTATGCACCCCATACCCATCCTGTGGGCGGTAGTCAAAAGATTACAGAGGTACATAATTGGTCCAGGGACTGGGCCTCAAAGTTTTGATAGCTGAGCAAGTTACAGAGGTAATGAATTCACAATTTACAAAGGTAATGAACTCCAGGTAGGTCTAGTCACAATCATGACAAGTTACAAAGGTATTTACAGATTACAGAGGTACACAATGGGTCCAGGGACCGGGCTCCAAAGTTTTGATAGCTGAACTAGGTACAAGGTAATGAACTCACAAGTTACAAGTAAGAGGTGATGGTAGGGGATGGTCCTAACTAATAGACGGTTTTAGGTGGTAAGCTATATTCAACGTATAAAAACCTATTATTTTCAACGAAATAAACACTAAAAACTTTCTTGAAAGGGAGGGAGGAAAGGGTCTGTGTACCTATTTCTGTTTTTTCACAGGTTATATATTACACAAGACTCACGAAATCGTAATGACACGATTGCAAACAAACCATACCACGGGCGGGGATAGAACCCGCGGTCAGTCATAAAACTCCAGACCGTCGCGTTAGCCACTGGACCAGCTAGCCACAATAAGATTCGTCCAACTAGGTATATTTCTACACCATAGGAAGGTTAGCATGGGCATCACTGTGACCACAAAAGCAAGCTTTTACAGACGAATCTTAATGTGGCTAGCTGGTCAAGTGGCTAACGCGACGGTCTGGAGTTTTGAAACTCTGTGACCACGGGTTCAGATCCCGCCCGTGGTATGGTTTATATATTACACAGTTTGACTTGACACAAAGCGCCGATTTCAGGGACATAACTGCATTATGGGATATCTTACTGTATTGTTAACCACCCATTGTTACTGACGGGTAAACATAGACAACCGGTGTAAGGAAACATGCTCAATATTTCAACCCTCGCCGGGAATCTAACCACGTCCACTCACCGCGTGAAGCGAGAGCTTTCGCTATCAGGCCACGGGCCACCATAGGTTGGTATGTTGGTGTGATATGGTCGTTCCCTGTAAGGAGAAGAGTTAAGATATATTCCTAAGGTATTTCTGTATCATTTCATATTTGATGTCGCTGTTGCCAATTATTGTGGGAAGTTGTATTGATATTATACCCGAGTATCTGAGAGGAAATTTTGTCAAGACTTGCAGGCCCAATATGTGTATTCAGTTAATTAGATGACCTAGTGCATGTTGTAGTAGGTAGAGATGTGGGAATAACATTATGAACATATGCAGAAATGTGTAGTGGATGTGTTTGGCGAGACAGTCGTAACCAATGGATTATTGTGCCCCTTACTCCTTGATGCTCAAGCGAGCAGACTGATGTGTGTAATACTCGGATGCCCTTGAGGTCCATATGATAATGGAGAGTTCATTTTTAATAGAGACGAATGGATTTTGTTCTGGAGTTTACCTGGAGACAGTTCTGGGGGTCAACGCCCCCGCGGCCCGGTCTGTGACCAGGCCTCCTGGTGGATAAGAGCCTGATCAACCAGGCTGTTACTGCTGACTGCACGCAATCCAACGTACTAGTCACAGCCCGGCTGGTCAGGTACTGACTTTAGGTGCTTGTCCAGTGCCAGCTTGAAGACTGCCAGGGGTCTATTGGTAATCCCCCTTACGTATGCTGGGAGGCAGTTGGACAGTCTCGGGCCCCTGACACTTATTGTATTGTCTCTTAACGTGCTAGTGACACCCCTGCTTTTCATTGGGGAGATGTTGCATAGTCTGCAGAGTCTTTTGCTTTCGTAGTGAGTGATTTTCGTGTGCAAGTTCGGTACTAGTCCCTCTAGGATTTTCCAGGGGTATAAGAACATAGAGGAGGATCACTGCAGCAGGCCCGTTGGCCCATACTAGACAGGTCCTTTACAATCCATCCAACTATATAATCATGCATCTCTCCTGCCTGCGTCCTAGGGAGTACAGGTTAAGGAACTTCAAGCGTTCCCGGTAACTGAGGTGTTTTATCTCCGTTATGCGCGCCGTGAAGGTTCTCTGTACATTTTCTAGGTCAACAATTTCACCTGCCTTGAAAGGTGCCGATAGTGTGCAGAAATATTCCAGCCTAGATAGAATAAGCGACCTGAAGTGTCATCATGGGCTTGGCATCCCTAGTTTTGAAAGTTCTCATTATCCATCCTGTCATTTTTCTAGCAGATGCGATGAAGGACCCCAATAGAAATAAGTCATTCTGTCTGACTCTTTTGGGTTATCCTAGGTTCTCTACACATATGCTGCTATGTATGATAATTCTATGTAACTGTATTTGTGTATACCTGAATAAACTTACTTATTAATACTATGTTATGGTCCTTGAAGGTGAGATCCTCCGACATGATCACTCCCAGGTCTTTGACGTTGGTTTTTCGCTCTATTTTGTGGAAGGAATTTGTTTTGTACTCTGAAGTTTTTAATTTCCTCATGTTTACCATATCGGAGTAATTGAAATTTCTCATCGTTGAACTTCATATTGTTTTCTGCAGCCCACTGAAAGATTTGGTTGATGTCCGCCTGGAGCCGTGCAGTGTCTGCAATGGAAGACACTGTCATGCAGATTCAGGTGACATCTGCAAAGGAGGACACGGTGCTGTGGCTGACATCTTTGTCTATGTTAGATATGAGGATGAGAAACAAGATGGGAGCTAGTACTGTGCCTTGTGGAACAGAGCTTTTCACCGTAGCTGCCTCGGACTTTACTCTGTTGATTACTACTGTGTTCTGTTTGTGAGGAAATTATAGATCCATCGACCGACTTTTCCTGTTATTCCTTTAGCACGCATTTTGTGCGCTTTTACGCCATGGTCACACTTGTCGAAGGCTTTTGCAAAGTCTGTATATATTACATCTGCATTCCTTTTGTCTTCTAGTGCATCTAGGACCTTGTCGTAGTGATCCAGTAGCAGAGACACAGGAGCGACCTGCTATAAACCCAAGTTGCCCTGGGTTGTGTAATTGATGGGTATCTAGAAGGGTGG